GTTTTTAAAATAATTTAGCCATTCTTTTCCTGATATGCAATTTTCTTTAATGTTGTGAAATACTCTACAAATTAAAGCATTGAAACATTTTTAAAATGGTGTGGAAAGTCAGGGAAATTTGTTTCAGGAAGTGAATTGCCACCCTACTCCAAACAAGTTACATAATGTTTATACAGAATCAGCGATTCATCAATCTCATCAGGATAAGTAGCAGTGAATTTGTTGACATTAAGTTTTCATTTTACATGAATGTGAGTTGATAAAAAACTAATCAGTTGAGATGAAATGGTAAAATAGTTTATATGTATGAGGTGCATGATGTGGTACTTATAATTATATTTGAGTATGAATATAAGGACAGTTAATATTTCTTAAAATATTGATCAAAGAAGATATCATAATCTAGTGTCTCTTATCAGCTAAGGTCTGCAAATCAAATTCAGAAAAGATACTCACTGTCTCTCTGAATTCCAAATGCTTTGGAAATCTTCACTGACTTTTTTTCCAAAACATTTATCAAACCAATGGTATCTGGAGACCAAATAACTGATGCATATTCAAGCTTAGATCTCACAAGTGCAAAAAATACAATTTTTAGTACTGTTAAGCAGTGGAATTTTCTTACAAGATCTATGATAAATCCCCACGTTATATTCTCATTTTTTACAAGTTCCTCTATATGAGGCTTAAATAATAGATGCTGGTCAAATGTGACGCCTAGTTCTTTTATTATGAAAACTGAATATAGTATAATATCTTCCTGAAAGAATTGTTCTCTATTTTCTGAGTTCTGTAGAATGACATGATCTTTCATTTATTTGGATTAAGAGGTAACTTTTGCTCAATAAAAAACAAAAAAATTTTCAAATTATTCTGTATGTTAATGCAATTCTGAGTATAGTTGACTAGTAAATACACTTTCATGTCATCTGTTTAAACCAATAAAAAAATTGACAAATCTCACTATAACGATTGATAGTAATTGTAAATTGCAATGGTCCGAGATTAAAGAGGAGGTGGATTCCTGTAGCACAGAAAATATGGGAAGAAAACCCACAAACTGCATTATCACAGTTCGCAACAACAGATAAGATTTAATAAGACTAGAGGCACGAATAATTATGAGAGATGTCTCATAAATTCAATTCAACAATAATTACAGTAAGATCTTACATATCAGAATCATTGAAAAGTCACTATAAATGACACATACTTGCACAAAGGAATTCATTGGGTGGTTAAGTGATTTGATCACTCAGTTGGACGAAGGCTCTGAACTATAGTGATTAGGAACGGAAAATTCTATGACAATAATAGTAGTAATAGTAATTATTAATATTAGTAATTTTTTCTCTTTGTAAAGAAGTAAATTTTTAAAGGGTTTTGATGGGGAAAAAATCCTACAATTAGTGTTTCATTATTTTGTTATCAATTTGAGACCCCACACCTCTTCGCCATTGGACTTCTAATATTTTGTAACACAAGTGTCCTTATTTCCCATATTACTCATCTGTTTCATCAACATAAAACATAATGAAACAGATGAGAGAGAAAATATTAGTCTGTCCTTCCCTCCTAATAGTGCAGAAATAAACAGATAAACAGAAAACCATGTGGAGTGTGTCATGTTCATTATTCAATTTTGCACGTTTCACTCTGGCAATATAATGTGTTGCAATCAAATTTAAGCTGAGTTGTGAAATGAATTTTAAAAAATATATACAATTAATACAATTTTGCTGCGAACATAAGTAAGGAAAGAATAGGAGCTGCAGTGCATACGTCCCGATTGTAACAGTGAATAGAAGTAAGGAACTCACATGCTGTATGTATTATCAAAATACTGACAGGGTTGGGCAAAATACTTTAAATTTAGTATTTAAATACATTGTAAATAAGTTTTTAAATAAATACTCAAAATACATTATTTTTTAATTTGCTAAATACACGTGTGTTTAAAATACTTCAAATACTCAATATGCAATAAATATATAATTATTTTGTATTATATCTTTTTTATTGCAACATTTTATTATAATTGTCAATTACAATCAAATTGTAATTGTAGTCAATTTCTGAACAATAACTAACTGTAATATGTACTATAAATACTTTCATATATAAAATTATATAATAATATGTCTTACTCAAACAGAATTTTCTTTTAAAACGACTAATTATTCAATCAAATCATCAGGCAATAAACCCCTATTTGGCGAATGTACAAAACCTGCAAAGGAAAACAGTCATTCAACTGGTGCAGATGAACATAAACTAGTGTTATAATGAATATTTTTTCTTGGATGCTTATTTAGAATTTTTAATGATTTAGATTTATCGTTCAAAAATGAAGAGAAATCAGATTCAGCAGCTGGAAAGAGCTTTTATTTTTGTTTCAGTGAGGTGCAAACAAAAAGAAACTATTCTTGATAACTTCATCTGTATTTAAAGTATTTTTTTTTTAAATACAACTATTTTATTTACTTAAAAATATCTCCAAAATACATACCCAGAAAAATCAAAAAAATAGTTTTTAAAATACAAAACGTATTTAAAATACACGTTTCAAATACAAGTATTTAAATACTACCCAACCCTGAGTATAGATGTCCGTGGGAATCTATTGCCTTGAACCCTGAGTACAGATGTCTGTGAGAATCTATTGTCTTGTAATTCGATAGCGAATTTCTGAGTGTGTTCCCGAATGAGGTCACTCTACTCAATATTGGAGTACTGCAGTATAAATGCATCTTGATTTGTCCCATTCTAATAGCCTTAATCATGGAACTTGTCATATGCAACCCAAACCACGAGTTCCTACTCTTGGGAAAAGGCTTATGATTCGAGATTATTCCGGCAATCCCAATAGTCTTTCGTAACATTCCACGATGAGTGAGAGTGTTTCATGGAGGCTGTCTGGTGGGGCCGCGGCGGGGGATTCCGTCTGACCCGGTGACCAGGAACGGAGGAGTGGGCTGGGTGGACCAATGTTCAGAGTTAGGGTGGGGAGGCGCCGGGTGTGGAGAGATGTAAGCTCATGACCTTGGGCCATTCGATAAATATCTTGCTATGGTTCGTTCAACTGTACAAACAAATTGGCGGATAGCCAAAGTGGCCAAAGTTGTTCCCAACGGGAACATGCCAGGTCGCATGCCACCGTTGTTTCAAACGAAACTTGAAAACAGTTTTGTTTGTGTTCTTTCAAAGTTGTTCCAGTGTTAAATATTCGGTGTTTCGATCTTTAGAAACATCACACCTAGAATTTCTGACTGTCGAAGTTCGTCACCTGAATTCCATGTATGGCGTTTTCGCTCAGGCCCATGTGGCGGTAAGCACGAGCGAATTATTTCCCAATCAAATCTGATTTATCATTCCCATTCAATCGATGATTTATCTCGAGAGCGCTATTTCAATCTTAACGGAAGGGTCGAAAATAAATAGACGTCCACTGGCGAATAGAAATACGACTTGGACGCGGACAAATTTCAAGCCGGCGGGGAGAGCGATGCATTGCTGGCAATAGACACTTCTTTCTAATTTACAGCGATACGGAATCAGTGAACTTTTCAATTATTTCTCTGTCTTTCCCGGATTCTGATGAAATAGATCCAGCAATATTACATGTATGTTATCCGAAATACCACACACTATACTTTCTGATACTAAGCGAGTTTTCAAACACTTTTTGGAAAAACGTTACTCTTCAAGATGAAATCCAATGAATGTTAGTAGGCCTCTGCCTACGAAGAAAAATGTCCCCTATCAATAAATAATTCGCTCTTCATTAAATTCTGAATGCAGAGTAGGCTGTTTTGAAGTATTAACCTTTTCATTTGTACACTGGTATATAAACATTCTGTAAGAAACTATGTATTTTTTAGTCTAGTGAAATGGATGAAACAGATATAGATGATCATGAATCTGAACCTTCTGGTACTTCAGCTGTTCTCAATTACTGCAAAAAGAAAATCCTTCAGCCGTATCTACAGCTTTTGTCAGCGATGGGGCTGCGGCCTGTGCGACAAGAACTCTCAGGCCACTGTAGAATCAGTTCTGTCTTATATTACATCTATTTTATTTTTGTTTTAATGTTATTAATTGCTGGCTACATATTACAAGGAATGGCATGTTTCAGGTAAGCCATAGGTGTTATAAATCTCAAAATTTCATAAACATGTTCTATTACAAAACTTATCAAATGTTTATTAAACATTACAGACGAGATCGAGGTTTTTGTTATAAAGTTTCATATAAAGTTCCTGTAGACACTTGTCAAAACATTTGCTATGGAAATGTGACCTTCAGTTATGTTGTTCCTAGTGTTCTCCACTTTACAGCGTACTTGTATGCAGTTTATCTGTTCCGAATAATGGAAAATGAACAACTGCAAAATTTAATGGAAAGGGTATGGTGATACGATTGTTCCAAGAATTTTGTCATTGGACATTATAAAATAAGTAAAATGTTTATTCTTTGTAATAATTTCTCCAGGCTTTCTTGATGGCATCAAATAATGCTGATGGAACAGTGCATCAGCGGCATCTGATGAAGAGGCTGTGGCTCTTCATTTTGTTAAGCTTATTATGGATTGCTCTCTCTGTAACCTCTCTCAGTGTGATGATGGCCAAAGAAAAGATAATCTTTGTTTGGTTTGAAGAAAGGTATATCTTTAAAATCACTCTCTCAAAAGGTCTAATGATCAACTGCAAATGTAACAAATTATGATAGTTATTTTTGTAGGATATTTTTATTTGTTGGACATATTTTAAATGATCACATTGTAAATTTTTACAAGGAAATTTTTATTAACATTTAAGTCAGTGGGCTCCATGTTGTCCTTTGTGCAAAATAAGCTGAACTTTTGAAGGAAATCCTGAGTCTTAAAACCTGAGATTCAGGTGCCAATCTGAGCATGAAACTGGTCTTACAACTTAAAAGCAATTAAGAATGGTGAGAAAAAGAAAATTTAGGGGCATTCTTTTAGTTTCAAGTCTTTCATGATTTAAATACTAATTCTCAATTCAGTTTTTCCTTTTCATTGAAGAGCAATAATAATGTGTTATTTATCTGTAGGCCGAGAAATGTTGAGTTCTACAGCAGAAACCCTTTAACATGTTAATTTATCTTATTCAATTTCATAGCAACAAAATTAATTAGTTTCTAAACAATTCTTTATAAAACATGTCATTAAAATCATTGTTTCTTCTACATGTAAATTAATAAAGACAAGTTCTGTGTCACTTTATCTTATTGAAATTTACCCTGGACGTAACTAGAAAATGTTGCGTGTGAGGGTTAAAGGAGGCTATTTGTGTTTGAAATGTGAAGTAGATAGGAAATTTCATTTCGTCACATTGTTCTCATTAAAGAATGTGGGTTGGAATCACTGTTTTCAGTCAAATTAAAATACAAAGAAACTGAAAAATTTGTCAAAAATATATTTGGTGCAAAAGTTTTTCAATGTGATGTTAAAACAAGTAAGATGATGATTATTTTAAACAATTGATTTAGTGGTTTAACCATTTTTTTCTCCCTTGTTAATTTTTCCAAATACTATAGTGTTTTTTTATGGCTTAACATTGTTTCCATTTATAAAATAATAAAATAAATTATGAAGTAAAGTGGAGAATATCAATTTATAACACTAATTCAACAACTGAGCTACGAAGTAGCTTTGGAGTATTGTCTAGGTTGCATGATAAGAAATAATGTTACTCGTAATCAGACGTAATACTTTTTGCTCCTAACAAGACACAAGATATATTATTTTATATTTTCTTCAAATAACTTATTCTAAAGACAGAAGATAAAAATGACCATGGGGAATGTGTCAAAATTTTTAAAACAAACAGAGGGTTAAGATGGATGTGGCCTTTGGCCAATGCCTGTTCAATGCTTCCAGGACACTTTATCCACTTCATATTATCCACTGTTATAAAGTCCAGTTTAATTTGGTCCACAGACATTTCATCCCCCTTTTTTTTGTCCATAAATAATTTGGCCATTAATTCATATGTCCACAAGTATTGTGTCCATTTTCTTTCGGGCATATTTTTTTGTCCTTTTTCTTTGAAGTCCACTGAAATGTATGGCCACAATTTAAACATTGTACTGTGTTTTTGTTTTAGCGGTATTGACTAAGAAATTACTTTGGGAATGGCATCTTCATTCATCTAAATACAAAGATTATTTATAAATTATTTATAAATATTATATGTATCAGTTCCATTACATCAGCAGAAATGAAAACAAATCTTATTGGCTTTGGGATAATCAAGATATCTGCAATGCCCCTCTTGTCACAAATAAAAATGTAAATAATCATATCCATATATATGAAGAAGGTCAGCACACTCATGTAGAAAATGGAGCTTAAGGTCCTGCAAAGAGAATGGTGAGAGGAACAAAAAAGCTGAACTACACTCTAGGAGGTTCATCTGCATGCGTAGTAAGAGAAGAAAAAAGGGTATAGAAGATCAGGAAGTACTGTTGCATTTACCGTAAAGAACTTCTTTATTACGCACTGTCAACCGTCAACCGATCACATAATGTAGGCTATACACAAAAATCAAATCCTCTTGCTGGCGGTCATAAGCAAATCTGATATCTCATTAGAAAATCGTATATTCTACTTCTATGTCAAATTAAAAATATTGCAGACCGATATCAAGAATATGCTGAATATAATAATATAGATTTATATTTGTGTAGCATTAGCTACAGAATGAAAATGTATAATACTGAAGGAAGCGACGGAAAAGTATCAAATATTTAATTGTATAATATTTTAACTCAATAAAATATGTATTTCTTTTACAATGAACTATACTTATTATGGACTAAAAATATATAAAATGGTCAGAATGTTAGTGGACATTTCTGTGACGTCATCGCTTAGTGGACCATTCTGATAAGAGATCATTAAAAAAGTGGACCAAATTTTTGTGGACATCCCATGTTTCTGGACTAAAATTCAAAGTGGACTAAAATGCATAGTAGATGAAATTTTCCTGGGCAATGTGTTGGGAAATCCTGTCCAACATATATGCAAACCATATAATCAAGGAATGGTCACAAGCTCTAAGAAAGGGAATAAATTTCAGTAAAAGACAGAAGGTCCAAACAATCCTGTATGCAGTCAGGATAATAGAATCAGAGAATGTCATGAAAATTGCAGCTTATATAAAATGTCACAGAAATATAATATGGACATTTTCATAAGTAATACAATGGCAATGGAACATCAAGGAAAAGAAATGAAAAAAGTCAAAATTGTCATAAATGGGAAAATAATAGAACATGTATCTAAATTTGGGCGACCTCATTGGACGGAGTTCGGAAGACATGGAAAACAAAATTCAGAAATACAACAGGATGAACAGATTAATCAAAAGACACATCGGAAGGGATATCATCATAGAGACCAATCTAAGAATTCACAATATGATATCTAAACCAATCTCCATACATGGTTCGGAAGTCTGCACGATGAGAAGCAGTGAGCAACACAAATGCAAATGAAATTCCTTTGACATCTTGTAGGAGTGGCTCTAAAGGATAGGCAAAGGAGTAACAACATCAGGAACAGGCTAAAGGCAAAAAAATATAGTAGAAGAAATAAAGGATGTACTGAGAAAATGAGGGGGGGAAAAAAAATGTATTTTAGATTATTTTTCTTATTCTTCTACAGTGTAAAGGAATTTTCAAATTACATTTCCCTTAAAAAATATAAATAAATAAGAATTGCTTATTCCATTAGACTTTCTGTTTCATGTGAACTGTTTCAAGCTGAAGCAAAGAAAAAAGAACTGCATATCACATCCTGTGAAATAGTGATCCTGTGAAATGAAGAAAAACTGGTCAAAACTTGCCTCCTCACCATTTCAAGTTATAAATATAGAATGTACTACGATTGTTAAATTTGATGTAGTTGCAAAAATAATTGATATGTATTATTAATGTAATTATTATAATTAATGTAATTATTATTAATGTAATTATTATTATTATAAGTAGTAGCATTAAAATATCATATTGAAATGTTAATTATTTGCAGATCATTTATCTACTGTATAATATCTTAATCTAACTGTAACAAGTATTGTATTTCTAGGCCAATGACCCCATCTCGATCAGGTTTTGTTCAGTTTCCTTGATCCTTTGAGCAAATGCTGAGATGGCCCCTTGTTTGCTCCTGAACAGTAATATAACTTTGCTCTCTCCACCCAAGGCATCATATTGACTCGTCATACACGATTGTAATTGTATATGTGACTCAATAAATATTATTATTATTATTATTATTATTATTATTATTATTATTATTATTATTATTATTATTATTATTATTTACTGTATTCTAATTTAATATTAAATCTTATTACAAATAATTTTTTTTAAAGTAGGTTGGAGATGTTTCACATCCATGTAATCTCATAAACATTTCATCTACGTCTGTATTATCAACAACAAATTAAAATTCAAAACAAATGAAAACTAATTTTATCGCTATAAAAATCTAAATAATAATTATTTGTCTGTATTTTTTCAATTTAATGATTTACACATTCAAAAAGTACTGTATTAAATATTATTCAGGTAAACAATCTGATTTTTAAGTAAAAAATCTGTTATCTAATTTTAAAAACTCATAATTTGTTCCATTTTACACAAGACAAATGTTTCCCCCCATTTAATGGGACCGTAAGACAATTAAAAATTATTTACATAGTTTTATTATTGATATTTTCCGAAATTGGATTATTTTCCATGATCATGATTGATAATATTAACTTTTCAATATCTATCATATGTTTCTGTTCTATTTATGTTTTGTGAGTTGGTCTGCTGGATAAGGGCAGGATATATTTATTTTATGTTCCATTATTCATTTTTTAGTTTTCTTTTAGTTTGTCCCAATAATTATCAAGACAGTCTTAGCACTTAATTGATATACAATGTTCTGTTCCATTAGGATAATTTTGTCTTTTTAGTTATTAACATATGTCTTTTTATTGGTAATTTTGTGAACTATCTTAGTATCAATTATGTTGGTATACTATTGTTTTTTGCAATACATGCATATGTATGTACTTGGTATACATGGTAAAAATTATTCTATTTGGTTCCTAATGATTTTTATTTGACATTAAATTGTTCTTGAAACTATCCAAAAGTTGATTAATATATTTTTCAATAAATTAGATGGATAGTTATTGAAATGGAATTGGTTCCTATGTTTAGATTTGTATGATTTGTTATAAGTAGAGTAATGGTACCTAAAATCATTACTCTAAATTGTTTGAATAGACTAAAAACAACAAAAACTGACAACAACAATGGGCAATTGGATTAATTTATGAGTTGGTTGATTATTTATAACAATCGAGATGGTTATTAGTGACTGTCAAAAAGGCAACATGGGCATTCTGAGACAATTTGAAATATTGTCAATGCACTGCAACTAGACATTATGTAGTTGTTCAAATTAAGAAATTATGCTTCAAGGATTCTTTTTGAAAGATAATATGGTTTCCTTCTGATAATTAGTGTACAAAATAATTATGTTACATTATTGCCGCTCTTTTCAATATATGCAAAAATAGCACTGTCGTTGAAATTGGTAATCACTAATGTTTTTATTTGACAGCTCTGTAGCATG